GTAACACCAAACTGTTTTCCAGTACAGCTTTTTCCCAAGTCTGTTTATTCTGATGCTCTATCACTGGTAGGGATAGATGTAAGACATTGGATCATATTTATTATTTTAAACTGTTAATGTTGAAATTCAACTGACTCCCTCCACCTATTTCAGGTAGGCATCAAGTAAACAAGTTGCCAAAAAGAACTTCAGAGTTGGTTTGTGGCCTGGATGATGCAAAGAAGTCTCAGGTTCTTTTCTCCCTTGAGTGACCTCGGACCTGAATTTGGCCTTTTACTTCATAAATGAACAAGAAGGAAATCTAAATGACAGGATACACATGATATCCCATTCTCTTTCCTCCTATTTGCTTGCTTTCTTCTTGTTACATGTTTGGTAAAGCACCAATTTTGTTTGAGAAAGTTACATAGAGGAAAACACTGCTAAAAATGGAGTATCAGGTTATAGTAAAATTAGACTGTTTATGGTTACCTCTTAGGACATTAGTCAGCCTGTAGAAAGGAGAAGAAAGAAAAAGCAACAATTGAGTATTCTCTATGTTTTGTCCATGGTTCCTAAATGCTTTAAAATTATTTCACTGAAAAGCTATTAAGAAAATCCTTTAAATCTCAACTGCGATGTGGGTTCATTCTCAGGTTCCCTCCTGCTGGCTGACCACTGTGCACCAGCTAACTAGACTTCAGTGTCTCCACCAGCAAAGCAGGGGAGTGTAACAGACACCTCTGCCTCCCCTGGCCCTGGTGACAGGGGTGTTCAAAGAATCAAAACCGACATCTATGAAGACATGTGGCACGAACTCTCCCTGGCTACCACCCAGTGTTTCTTCTCTGCCGCTTGTACACTGGAACCTAATATCACAGACACATGGTCCAGCTTGCAAATGCCTGAAATTTGAACTTGTCTAATGGAACAAAAATCTGCCAGATACCTGCATGATCAGAGTACAGAATAACAAACACGGCTGTTGGCAGTTTAATGGAGGGTTTCCACACACACACACACACACACACGCCCACCCTCTTCCTGTCTCACTCCCATCCCCCAGCTATAAAAACATAAAAAATAAAATTAGATATGGACAGTATCATTGGCTTTATGATACCCTCTCTTTTAGGTCCAAAGGATTATATTAAATATTAGCCTTCCCTCTTAAAGACATACTGAACTATGCAAAAAGTCCCTTGCATTTCAGATAGGAGGTCACTGTTTGGTCCATAGCCTCACATTCTGATTAAGAGACTGTAACCAACTCATAAACCATTTACAGAGGCCTGGTATCACCTTGGTAAACTTCTCTTCTACCAAGACATCAAAGTACCAAGCAAATACCCTCAAACAGAGGGCTGCGACCTCAAGTTAAGTACCCAGTGCCACTCTAGACAACCATGGGGGCTAAAGAATGCTAGGATCAGGGCTCTATCTTTTTGGGAAAACCACCACATGCTTCCTGACAGAAGATGTGGAATACAAGATCTAAGTACCTCCACAAGAAACGGATTTCTTTGCAGACAGAATGAGTGGGGTTTTTCTAAGGACTTTTCTTCTCCTGGTTACCTAAGCTGTAGAGCTTCAGACAGTTCCAGGAGTCTGGGGCTTCTCTGTTTTTGCTCTTCTAAGCAGGCAGACCCTGGAGTAGCACTCTAGGGCTGGGCAAGAATCTGCTGGGCCCAGTTCACTTGGCAGCTAGCTTGGCAATAGCCTACAAGTGCTGTTTCTTAAAAAAAACACCGGAGATCACAGACCGTAATGACTGTATGCCCAGCAGGCACTCCCACTCTTTTTCCTAACTGGCAGAGGCCTGATTTGGTTTGGGTATTCACTGTTTCATGGGAGCCCTGGTAGTCAGGAGACAGTCTGGAGGGAGGAGCTAAAGGCAGGCCACTTATTCCCCTTTCTCCCCACAGGGTCACTTCAGGCTGGCTGTGTCCCTTGACTGAAAGTTATTTCTCCTCTCTGAAGGTGCCTCTTTCTCCAGGAGTCTCCTTCCAGGTTCTAGTAACTGCTCTCTCCCTCTTTGGGCCTCGCAGCTATTACCGAACAGCTCTGCTGATGCAAGTCCCTTGATTCTACTACAATCCCACATCTTTATAAAACCCTCCACAAATAATCCTAATACGAGTATGCTGTTTCTTGTTGAGATCCCGACTGATGGAGGTATTCTATTACTTGCAGTTGAAAGCAGCCTAAGTGATACCCCTAGCACTAGATTCTAGTTCTTAAAATCCAGGAAACATCACAGTACAGGAAATTCCAGGACAACTTCCTATTCTTGTTTCTTTTTTTAAGTTTAATGTATTTGACAGTGAGAGACACAGCGAAAGAGGGAACACAAACGGGGAATGGGAGAGGGAGAAGCAGGCTTCCTGCAGAGCAGGGAGCCCTATGCAGGGCTCGATCCCAGGACCCTGGGATCATGACCTGAGCTGAAGGCAGACGTTTAATGACTGAGCCACCCAGGCGCCTCCCTATTCTAGTTTCTAATGGAGTTAGTGTGCCTGTGGGTGGTGGAAGGCAGTGGTTGGAGGAAGGAGGAAGGAATAAATGGCACATGCATGTACGTGTTTCTGGGTAGCCCTGGAGAAAGAAGATGATGAGAACCACATCAGAATAACCCTTACCAGTATATAGTGTACATTGTTTTTTAAGATATATTTTTAAAGATTTTATTTATTTGACAGAGACAGCGAGAGAGCACAAGCAGGGGGAGCAGGAGAAGGAGAGGGAGAAGCAGGCTCCCCACTGAGCAGGGAGCCCGATGCGGGGCTCGACCCCAGGACCCTGGGATCATGACCTGAGTGGAAGGCAGATGCTTAACAACTGAGCCACCCAACGCCCCTAAGATTTTCTCTTTAAGTAATCTCTACCCTCAACGTGGGGCTTGAACTCACAACCTGGAGGATCAAGAGGTGCATGCAGGCTCCTCTGACTGAGCCAGCCAGGTGCCCTCGTAGTGTACATTTATTTATACACATTTTTATTTACAATAACCCTGTGACATAGGGTTCTTTAAAAAATTTTTTTTATTTAAACTCAACTAGTATTAGTATTATTAGTTTCAGTGTGACATAGGGCTCTTGATTTTCATATTACAGATGGGGTCAGGTGAGGATCAGAACTGTGAAGTAACTCCTCAAAGTTGCAGCAAGAGGATGAACCAGAGATGGAAACCAGATCTACTGACTCAAATTCTGTGGTTTTCTCATTCCCCAGGGCTTGCTCCTCCCTCCATGAATCAAGCCCAGGAAAGCAGGATAGAACCGAAAGGGAAAGGAAGAGGCAGTGTGATTTGTGGGTTATGCTGCCCTTCTTATCCTCATCTAAGATTTTTCTGAAGTTCCTTTAACATCTAAGAAAAACCACATCCTCTAAAAAAACCCAATCCAACAGCTTGCAGTAGCCTGAGATTCCAGAATAAATACTGAAATTGGCAGGACACATAGTATCCTTGCTCTCAATGGGTCACGTGAGGACACTGCATAGCATCAGTCATGTGTGTGTCTGGGAACACACAATATTTATGTTTCATCCAACCCTCAGATGCCTCTTTCTTGTGCCAAAAAGAACCGCTGTGTCCTACCTTCTGATCTAATCTAAAAATGTCATCAAAATCTGTCCCCCAAGACCTCCAAATTCTTTTTAAGTGGAGGAGACTTGAGTATCCTCCCTGTTTCCTAAAAGAACGGCTCAGATGAAATCATGCCAAGTACTGAGTAAACGGGAGGGTTTTTTTTTTAGTGGAAACCATAATGCTATGCTGGGCTGCATTTTCACAAGACTTCGGGGGTGGGAGGGTGGTCCCTCTGCCTGAATAGGCTGGAAGGCTATTTAACATTTTGTTCAGGGGAAACACAGCCCAGATTCAAGAGTCAAGACCAAGTCATGAGACTCACTGGAGTCAAACTCTGGCACAAGCCCCAACTGCTTCTAGGCAGCTGTACCTTCATATGAACAAAACCACCTAGAACATGCACACATGGAAAAATTAAAGCAAGATCTAGCACTCTACAGAACTTCAGCATGTGGCATCTCAGGAAATTGACCCTTAAACCCAGTTTAATATGTGAATCTCTTTCCTTGAGAGCAGGTGAACGTGGCTTTCACCACCAATGAGGTAAAATAATAAATACTCATTTTTTTTTTTTTAAAGATTTTATTTATTTGAGAGAGAGAGAATGAGAGACAGAGGGCATGAGAGGGAGGAGGGTGAGAGGGAGAAGGAGACTCCCTGCTGAGCAGGGAACCTGATGTGGGACTTGATCCTGGGACTCCAGGATCATGACCTGAGCCGAAGGCAGTCACTTAACCAACTGAGCCACCCAGGAGCCCCTTATAATTACTCACTTTATAACCAATTACCAAATTATTCCTGAAATGAGTAGTTCTTATTGATACAGGAAGATGTTCAAGATCTACTACTGGGTAGACAGAGAAAGACAAATACTGAATGGTATCACTTATATGTGTCATCTAAAAAAGCCATACTCAGAGAAATAGAGAATAAAGTGGTGGTTACTAGGGGGTAGAGAATGGGGGAAATGGGGAGGTGTTGGTCAAAGGGTATAAACTTCTAGTTACAAGATTAAAATGTGCTAGGGATCTAATGTAAGATGGAGATTATAGTCCATAATACTGTATCATATACTTCTGAATGTTGCTAAGAGAGATCCTAAATATTTTCACCAAGAAAAAAGAAACAGTATGTGAAGGAATGGAGGTGTTAGCTAATGCTGCGGTGATAATCAGTTTGCAATATATAAATGCATCAAACCAACACACTGGACATCTTAAATTTATACAATGTTATACGTCAATTCTATCTCAATAAAGCTGGGGGGAAAAGGATGGTTAAGTGAGGGCTAACTGCAGTGTAACTGTTCAATATACATTGCTACAGTTTAAAAAAAAAAGGAAGACCAGTTATTGGGTGAACAGGTAGGCTGAAGAATAGCTTTTGTGAGAAAACATCCATCAATATACGGGGTAAGAGTCAGACCTGGAGAAACATGCAAGATAATGTCGATTACTGTCTGTGGGTATTGAATTTATAAATGATTTTTCTCTCTGTGTTTTCTGCATTTCTGCAAAGCATATATATACATATATATAAAAAGATTAAAAGATTTTTAAAAGAAGAGAGTTATTTCCAGGAAGTGCCTTCATACCCCAAATCTGATTTGTCATATGACCAAAATTTTGGAGAAGGCTCACTGAAACCAAGCACTGATAAAAAATGATGCTTAAAACAGCACCACGTGCTTCTTAAATTTTATTTTCTTTTACAGAACAGGCCAAAAAATTTTCTAACAACTTCATCTATGCTTAGCATTCCTTTGGGATCAATAAGTATCCATTTTGATAAGGCAGCTGTATCTGGCCTTAGAAGATGTTGAGAAATGTTTACGATAATCAGAACCTACTTGGGAAAGTAAGAGAACAGTATGTCCACCTTTTAGTTTAAATGTCTTTAGTTTAAACACCTGACCTTCCATACTATTCTTAAATGCTTGTACTTGTTTTTTAAAATCTAGATTGACAGACATTTCAATTTTCAAAATGTATCACACATCCAGATTAGGCTGAGAAATAGCTGCAGGGAAGGACATTTTATCTTGCCCCAGGGAGCGTAACGGAGGGAAAATCTCAGAAAGTCACTGAAGGACTCACCTTGCCAGCAAGATCCCCTGGTACTCTTCCAGTTGTCTCATGAAGCTGGGGTTGGGCTTGGTCACTGTTCGCCTCTCCTTCACGTAGTCATAGGCCCGGTCCAGATTCCAGCCGTACTCCTTCATTGCATAGGCAATCACAGTGGAGGCTGAGCGACTCACCCCCATTTTGCAGTGTACAAGGCATTTGGAGCCATGTTTCCTATGTCGGGGGATGGAGGTAAGGAGAAAAACACAATAGTAGTACATTTTAAAAGCTATGTTCTACATGTTTCCAAGTCTCCTCTCGCCTTTCCATTTTCTTTCAAACCATCCCACCTTAGTGTACTTGTATATATCTGTAGTCAAATGTGCGGGGAGGGGAGGCAATTCTAGTGTACTCAAACAATAGTCAATGTTAATATTAATTCTTTTAAATTAATTCAGCAAACATTTACCAGGCAATCACTGTTGTAAGACAATGTGCAAGATTTCTCTGCCTCCTCCCAGTGGAGGCAAAGAAAAGTAAATCTTCCCTAAATGGTAGGGTTCAGTGGGAGAAAGAGATAATTAAAACGCAACATGGTAATTGCAATGAGTGTGAAGGGAGAATTTTCAATTTAGAGACTGGACCCCATTTTGCGTATCTGGAGGTGCATGTTCCAAGGCTGGCACAGTCTTGAGTTACAAGTGTGACAGTGATTCATCTAATTGATCCAAATGTTCTGAGTTGCTTCCAGTTCAAGTTCCAGTAAGGGTTCTGTCCCTGGAGGAAAGTACAAACCAAATAAAACTAACCCTCCTCTTTACTCAGATGTAGTCCTACATATCACTTTTCAAACCACCACCACCATGTTCTGTCTAGGGACTGGCTAGACAATCCGTGGAGTTGGATGGGACCATGTGATGCACCACGAGGCTTTCTCAGTGAGGAGGGTGGAGTGAGTGAGTAACTACCTGTTGTTGTTTTAATGGGGTGGAAGAAAGAGAAAGCAAAGTTACCATGAAGTGACTGTAAGAAACAAAGAAAACCCTGTGGTCTCAAGATGCCAGAGCTCATTACTTTGGATATGAACGTGACTCAGTTATGCTATGCTAATTCTGCTAATAACACGGTGTCTGGCACAGAGTAAGCCTTCAAATATTTACTAAATGTATGAACAAACTTATGGATCTGCTGTTAGATCTGTCAGCTATAAGTAAAAATATTTTAAAATCTGGAAAAAAGAATGGTTACTCTTTTCACTAGAGTACATGGGCTAAAAATCCTTCCCATGTGGCTAGTCCAATAAATTAAAAAAAATGTACATCAGCCTAAGAGGGGAAATCTACTCATTCACTCACTCACTGTATTACAGTAAACAAGCTTCCTTCCAGAGGCTTATAACTCTTCTGCTGGAGATAGACACACAAGAAAGAGTTAAGTACAATGTAAGGAAGGCATGAGGTTATGTGCCAAAATGAGAGGAATGAGGTTATGTGCCAGATAAGTGATAGGAATTCAGAGAATGATCTGCAATAATCAAAACAGTCTCAAAAGGAAGGTAAGATTAACCTCCTACCCATCATTTAGATGCAAAATTCTGGAGTCCTTAGGTTAATGAAGGTGTGTGTCTCTGCGTGCTTAGATGATCCCAAATGACTAGGACATTTTTGTTTTGTTTATGGCACCATAACTTTAGACTACAGTGCACAGTGACTCAGATATAAGTTCAGACATGTGCTCTATATTTTCCCATCAAGCTCTGACATCAAATTTCAGGTCTATACCCGCAGGCATGCAAGGTGCTCAAAGGTGGACAATTTTAAGAAAAATACAGTTATGAAATCCACCCCCATAAAAGCATTTCTTCATTTTGAATGGGGCTTTTTCAGCGGATGGTTTCTAACTCACATATTGAAGGATCTGAAGTCAGTTCAGAATATCCAATTTCATCTTTCAGTTTCAGCCACACACCCCCCACCCCTCCTGCCCCTCCCCGTGCTGGGTTGTCTAGATTAAGCCTGGTCCTGGTATTTCAGGAATCCTAAACCCACCCATCTGTAGGTCGAGTCTGGAACTCAGGGCCCTGATCAGGATGAAACACGTGAGGTGCCTGGTGCCATTTAAAGAGGCGCTCACTCTCAGATGCTGACTTACACTCCCATGAGCCCAAGCAGGACGGCCTGCTCACGTGTACCCTGCATGCCTCACATATTTTACCTCAAGGCTGAAACTGGCCTTTCCTTTCACTGGGACTGGCGCCTCACCTGAACTCTAGCCTCTTTGGCTGTGATCCTCACAACATGCCTAGTCTTTTCCGGTCTCCCTTCCTTAAGGAACTAGACTATTCCTAAATACTTGATGGACTCTGGAATAAGACATGATCTTAGGTTCAAGTCCTATCTTCACCACTTGTTACTTAACTTCTCTGAACCTCATCTCTATAGTCTGTCCCTATCTGTACAAAAGGATGACAGTATATGCCCCTCTGGATTCTAGAAAATATTACATGAGAGAATAAAGTGTAAAGTACCTGGCACATAGTAAGCATGCCATGAGAGGTATTATTGAGAACAATTTAATAACAGGCTTCAAGAATATAAAACACTCTTCCAGGTGCTAGCTAGAGACTGAGAACATGGGCTCAAAGCCAGGAGGATTCAGGGTAACTAAGAGGAAGAACTTCTTGACTATGGAAGTCCTGAAGAAAGATGTGGAATCATTGCTGAAGGAGGGCTTTAAAAATGAGAAGTGCTTCTCATCTGCCAGGGATGATTTGAATGTGGTCCCATCAGAGGGGTAGCATGGCTAACATGCTCATTTATGGCTCCTTCTATTGAAGGAATACACAGGATTGGCAAGGAAATCCCCAGGGACTTAAAAAAACCCAGCGCAGACATACTAATACTAATTAACACTAAACATTAAATTAATACTTTTAGTTTCACTAAAAGGACCAATTCAGGGCACCTGGGTGGCTCAGTTGTTAAGCGTCTGCCTTTGGCTCAGGTCGTGATCCCAGCGTCTTGGGATCAAGCCCCACATCGGGCCCCACATCGGGCTCCCTGCTCCGCGGGAAGCCTGCTTCTCCCTCCCCCACTCCCCCTGCTTGTGTTCCCTCTCTTGCTGTGTCTCTCTGTCAAATAAATAAAATCTTTAAAAAAATAAAATAAAATAAAATAAAAGGACCAATTAATTTAAAGATGAAATCAACAGAATGGCCAGAAGAAAATTTCACTGCTTAGAGTACCGTAAGAGTAAAGTAAAAGAAAGAGAAAAGAGTTCCAAAGCTCACTAAGTTTCCCTTCTGGTCTTCGGAAAGGACTCAGTATCCCACCCACCTGGAGTAATTTCTGTTCTCTCACTTTCACATGTCCCCTTTGGCAACTTAGCACTTCCTTCAGAACGTCTTCCTTCTGTCACTCTTACTGTGTTTGCAGCAGCTTCAGTTTGTGGTCCCTCATCTTGTGCTCAATGGAAAGAGTCAACAGGGGATTCATTCTTCCAGGGGTTTCATCTACTTACAGGGAAAGTATGAAGTCACTAGTCAACTTTTCCCCAGGATTAAGGAACCTCAGTCTCCTTTTTTTCTTTAATTCCTTCTCCCAGAGTACAGACAGTAAGCCATCTACAGCTCTCAGGCCCAGCCGTGTGTGGTGCAGGGGGAACATGGGTCAGAGCATGTGTGTGGGACCATTACTCACTTTGCTTTAGAGATGAATTTGTAAGTGTCATTCCAGTAAGCCAGGAGATCCGTCGCCTCTTCATCATATACTCGGATGTTATGATACTCAAAGACTCCTGGGAAGAAGTTATCTATCTCTCGAGTGACATTCAAGATATACCGTACCCTGCAAGGAAACCAAGGGAGAGTATGTGCTCTACTACTCAGGCTAAATCCAATTCCAGCACTGTTTTTCGTATTTAAAATTTGTTTGCTCCCTAGGTTGAAATAAAATACTAAAATATTGAAGAAAGCTAAATAACTAAAGAGACTATATACTTATTTAGTAGAAACTAAATAACAGAATCCAGGACATACCTGGGCACTGACGAATTACTGAGAGAAAAGCTGTCTACCAAGTTCAACATCTAAATTCCATTTTCAGTTTATGTACAGTTATACAATCTCATCTTTGATAGTCTTTTGAAAATATGCCTTGTATTTTACTTCAAAAGAATCCAAGGTCCATCTGACAATTTCTCTTCAGTCGATAAAATTACCAGAAACATAATTTATTCTTTGGAAGTCATTTCTATTAAATCAGACTATTAACATCTACCTCAAGAAACAAAAACCAACAAAATAGGAAAGGGAAAAATTTCCTCCTATCTTTCTGAATGCTAGATTTTGCTCTGTTACTCTCTGTAAACTACAAGAAAGGCAAAAGAGGCGAGGGCTGGGAGGGTCAGAGGGAAGTTGGACCTAAAACTCTTGTCACTCTCTAGGCTGCAGTCCTGGCTGCCAGAGCAGCAGCTGTGTCTGACAGTTCTCCCATACCCAGAGGCTTGCAGAGAAGGGTTTCTGTATCACAAATTTCTTCTGCTGTCTCTCTCACTATACAATTTCAATAAATGCTTGGGTTTAATTTGCCAAATGGTTATCTTTTCTCAGTGCTGTGTGGACTTGGACATCACTGGAGTTTACCAACAACACAACACAGACTCACTTATTTCTCTCTGCAGAAGCTGCTTCCTTCTTGAAACTACACATAGCGTTCTTACGAACCCAATCTGAAGTCAGAGAAATGACTACAGAAAGGGAGAGCCATAGTTAACCCATTTTGTGGTTAAGGTCAAGAGACCAAAATTTTTCTGAAACATGATCTGAATATGTTTTAACTTTGCATCAAAGTCCATTACTAGGAAGGATTTTTTTTTTCTTTTTAATTTAAAAACCAAGCACATGTAATTGTGGAAAACAGTACATGAAGTTACTCTATGACCCAGCATATTCCTCTCCTAGGTATAAACCCAAGAGAAATGAAAAATAAGTCTACCCCTGAATTTGTACATGAATGGTCACAGCAGTATTCATAATAACTAGAAAGCGGAAACAACTCAAATGTCCATCAACTGACGAATGAATAAATAAAATGTCGTATTTCCAAACAATGGAACATTATTTGGCAATAAAAAAAAGGAATGAAGTACTAACACATGCTACAACATTGATAAACCTTGAAAATATAATGTGAAGTGGAAGAAATCATTCTTAAAAGAGCACATATTATATGATTCCATTTAAATGAAATGTCCAGAATAGGTAAATCTATAGAGACAGGAAGTAGATTAGTAGTTTCTAGAAGCTGGGGGGAGAAGGGAAATGGGGGTGACTGTTAAAGGGTACAGAATTTCTTTTTGGGTTGAAAAATGTTCTAAATTAATTATTGCACAACTCTCTCAAAATAATAAATATCACTGAAGTGTACATTTTAAATGGCTGAACTGTATGTGAATCATATTTCAATGAAACTGTCAAAAGGAAAGCACACTTCTCTTATTTAGAATAAACATGAATAACCTCCCACCTTTAATCCCATACTTTAATACTGGATTATGATAGGACAAGGCTTCCCAATCCTATTTATTACAGAACCCCTAGGCAGCCACTACCAATTGAAATTAGCACTCCTTGAAACTTCGACATCTCTATATGGAGGAGCGCTTTACTTGGGGTGCTAAAGTCAGTAGATTGGGTGAAAATGGCCTTATTGCCAAAATTAGACTTTAAAGTCCCTTAAATCATCCACCAGGGGCAGTATATGTGTTTTGTAACTCTAATTCTTAATTCCACAAGAGTTTAAGAACCAGTGAATTTATGAAACAAGATCTAAGTAGATGTTTGAGCATCTGCCTATACTGTCTTTTAAGACAAATACATCTGCGTTTTATAATTTAGCATTATAAGTAGTAAATGAGATGAACAGGTATCATCTCCAGCGGGGGGGTTAGAAGTCAAAGTGCATGTGCGCACGATGTAATTTCAATGCATTTGGCAAGCACTGGCTGTATCAAATCTCAGATTTCATATTAAACACTGTATCTACATGCTAGTTTCTGGCAAGTCACAGTCAATTTTTCTATCGTCCCTTCACATTTACTGAGCACCCTCTTGGTAATAAAACTGAGGTCGGTAGAGGTACGTTTTACACAAAACTAAGATACAGTCTATTTTCAAGAACTCTAGACTCAATCCTAATCAACTTAAAATTTCCAAGTTCTATTTATTTTCATATCTTAAATTAAGTAACCAGATTCACGCCCTCCTTCTCCCCAACCCAAGAACTCTTTGTATAATTCTCTGGCTTAAATCTTGTTCAAAGTTCATTTTAGCAATTATGACATACCTTTCTTTTGAAGGAAAAGTAGGGAGTATGCATCTAATCATGCTAAAGATAACCAGAAGAGGTTGGCTTACAGCTAAGAAAACAGGCAGCCAGCAACTAGCCATCACTGCTTCTGGGTTTCAGTAGGTCTTATCGCTGCCCACGATTAAGAGTTAGCATGGCCAACTTCAATGAAAAATTTAGGCATTAGCTAAGAAGTAAAAAGGGAAGAAGAACGGCAGCCTTTTGCTTGCTGAATGTTCATGGTGGTCTCAACAGCTACAATCAAACTCAATAACCATGTTGCTTAGGGGCACATTTCTTAATACAAAGTAGGTATTCTTGTTCAATTTCAGAAGCTTGTCCACTTTACATTTATAACCTACTTAGATTTCAAGCACCTTACTAAAAAAGGATAGGGACTGAGTCTTATTTTTCTTTGGATCTCTAGTATCTAGCACTGTACCTGGCTCACGGAAGATGGTCAATAAATGTTGAGTGGATAGCTGTGAACCCAACATATGTAGTTCTGTGTACTCTTATATAAAAATAGGAACCAAAGGCAAAACTATGGAGGCAGTAAAAAGATCAGTGGTTGCCAGGAGTGGGGGTGGGAATAAATGGGCAGAACAGAGGATTTTTAAGGCAGTGAAAATACTCTATGATACCATAATGATGGATGCATGATACTATACATTTGTCCAAAGCCAAAGAATGTACAATACTAATACTGACAGTGAACTATAACGTAAATATGGACTTTGCATGATTATGATGTTATCAATGAAGGTTCATCAATTGTAACAAATGCACCACTCCGGTGGGGATGGTGATAATGGGGGGGGGCTATGCATGTGTGGGGGCAGAGGTATATGGGAAATCTCTGTACCTTCTCCTCAATTTTACTGTGCATCTTAAATTGCTCTAAAAACAAACAAAAGGAACCAATAACTACATTTGTTCTAAACAGCAGAAAAGGCATGCACGTTTCTTTTGGAAAGCCTTTCCACTGAAACAGTAGCTCTTTCTTGGAAGCTGTGTGTGGGGGAGGATGAAAACAGTGGGAGAATGGCCACTTAACTTTTTATTAGATTACACCTGATTACAATCAACTGGAAGTAACTCTTAGGCTTAAAGTTACTCACTGACACCTATATGACAGGAAAAAGTAAAAAAGAACAGTGATTTCTGTCAGGGGGATAAAAGCAATTGCTCTGTGTGCTTACCCTCGGTTCTGTAAATCCTCTAAATTAGAGGCATTCCATTCTGAGCCCTGGGGGGGGGGGGGGGAGAAAAAGATTAGGGAGTATTAGCAAATGAACAAAATACAATGCTTGTAAAGGAGTCCCATGAAGGAAGAAGCAGAGCCAGTAACATCTACCATGGTTCCTTTCAATAGGTCAGGTACTTTATACATGATCACATTTAGTTTTTACAAGTGATAGGATAAGAAAGTTATCTTCATTTTTACAGATCAGAAAACCAGCCCTCATAGAATTCAAATAATTTTTGCTCAAGATCACTTGCTGGAAAACTGTCTTTGATTATCCTCCAATCTAAGGTAAATGTCATCTGTCTTCCTTGTTTATAGTACTCTGATACTTGTGTATTTATTTATGTGCTTATTTATTACCTCTCTCCTCCACTATAATATAAGCTTCTTGAGGATAGCAACCAGATCTCTTGTTCCCTAAGGACACCCTGAACAGTGCCTGGCACTTGGCAGGTATTCAGTAATAAACATTTGTTAAATGAACAAAGTGGCATTATTATAAATTAAACCTAGATTTCATTCTAAAGCCCATATTCTTTTTAGTGCCTTATGTTATATCCAGAGAGAGTGAAATAGCAGCTTCTGTTAAACAAACAATGGAAACATGATATACAACATTTAAAGAAGGAAGAGTTGTACAGATTATCTGAAAGATCTATCATTTGTTAATATTTTACCATATTTGCTTTCTCTCTCCCCTTCCCTTTCTTTGAATATGTTATCATACTTTCTTCCCCTGAGCCATTTGAAAGTCATCTGAGTAATCATGACACTTTAATATTTGATCATGTATTGCTTATGAACAAGAATATTCTCCTATTTCCATTTTTACAACTAAGAAAGAAAACACTAACGCAATGATAGCCTAATACATTATCAATATTTGAAATTCAAAAACTGTCCTCTCAAAACTGTCCTTTATATTCATCCAATCAAGAATCATACTTTGCGGGGCGCCTGGGTGGCTCAGCTGGTTAAGCGTCTGCCTTTGGCTCAGGTTGTGATCTTGGGGTCCTGGGATCTAGCTCTGCATCTGGTTCGCTGCTCAGTGGGGAACCTGCTTCTCCCTCTCCCCCTGCTACTCCCCCAGCTTGTGCTCTCTCATATAAATAAAAATCTTTAAAAAAAAAAATCATACTTTGTATTTAGTTTCCATGTCTCTTTCTCATTTAATCTGGTCTTGGACAGTCCATCCCAACTTTATTTTGGTTTTCATGATATTGACATTTTTGTTGACTACAGGTCTGTAATCTTGGAGAACTCATCACAATCTGGATTTGTCTATTTGTCTCCTGATAACTAGATCCAGGTCAAAATTCTTGGCAAGAATAATATAAGGATAGTATTGTGTATTTCCTATTGCATCAAATCTTGAGGCACATAACATCCATTTGTCTCATTGTCATGCTGAACTTGAATTCTTTTTTTTTTAAAGATTTTATTTATTTATTTGAGAGAGAGAGAATGAGAGACAGAGAGCAGGGTCAGAGGGAGAAGAGACTCCCTGCCAAGCAGGGAGCCCGATGCGGGACTCAATCCTGGGACTCCAGGATCGTGACCTGAGCCGAAGGCAGTCGCTTAACCAACTGAGCCACCCAGGCGCCCCCTGAACTTGAATTCTTGGTAGGTACCTTTGTATCTGCCACATCCCACTATTGTTAAGGTTTCTTTACAATTAATTAGTAATCTTTAGGTATTAGTGATCTTTGAAGTCAGGTGAATATCCTGTTTCACAATAATCTTTTACCCTATGGTTTTAGCATCAACTGCTGACTTTGTCCAAATAAATTATTTTACTGGACGTTGACAAAATGGTGGTTTTCTAATTCTATCATTCCTTCTGCATGGGAGCTGGCATTCTTCTTTGTAAAAGAGAGCTTCACCTAGTCATTCCTTCCACACTCTGAATGCCACTATGAGTTCTTGAATTGTTTTTGTATTTAGAATGTTATATAATCCATTACCATTTTTTTTTCCTGACACTCAAATTGTCCTGAATTTGATCAGTGGGAATCTCTTCAAGCAGGCAAGCTCTTTTTGATATGACCCCACTAGTTTTTGAATATTTCTTTGCTTTCTGGCATAAGAAGTTGTTCCAGATTCACTTTGTGAGTAGAATTAGCGATTTCCCCAAGGAACCCTGGTTTCTTTTAGCCAAGAATGATATTTTGCAATCAAAACCTGGACATTAATTAGATATGCTCATAAATATTGGGTGTTACTGCTTCTAAACTTTTCAGTGAACAGATCTAGGAAATACTTGAAAAAAAATACTGAGTTTACAGGAGCACCCAGGTGGCTCAATCAGTTGAGCCTCCAATTCTTGATCTCAGCTCAGGTCTTGACCTCAGGATCATGAGTTTGAGCCCCATATTGTTGACTCTCTTTTTTGTGCCAGGCATGAGGCTAGATATTTGTGCAATCTGATCTGTTTCTATAAGGAGAGAGTAATGAACCGTATCAGGTAGGTATTCATGGAAGGCCATTGGGATAGGCCATGGAAGGCCCCTGGGTTAGACAATTAGAAATGGTCATTAGCAACATTAGCAAGAGTGATGAGGGCAGAAATCACAGTGCTGTAGGTTGAGACATATGGGAAATGAGGAATCAGAGGAAGTATTAGATTATATTTCTATGAATCTTGGGAAGGGAAGGGAAGAAAGGAGTGTCTGGAAGAGAATTCAGGATGGAAAGAGGGTTTTTCCACTTTAATATGGGAGAAACTGGTTTTTTTTTTTTTTTTTTGTCGGGGACTGGGGGTTGGAATGGGAACTCATAAACAATAGAAACTTACTTCTCATAGTTCTTTGGCTAAAAAAATTGAATTTACACTGGTACCTCCAATTCAAAGTTAAAACAAGGTTCTTCCTTTCTTTTTGTCCCTTTGTCATCAATTTTATCTCCCTATTCCACAGTGATAACCTTGGTTTCCAACAACTCATTAACTCTATTTACAAAATAACTTCAACATTACTACACCAATATCACAGCCAATTACAAACCTATTAAGTTCAAAATTTCTTTGCAGTTTTTTTTCTCTTCCCATGAAGAGGTTCAACCAGAATATTATGCTCAAAAGTTATTTAAATTAACTTCCTTCTTTTTAAAATAATTTTTTAAAAGATTTTATTTATTTATTTGGCAGAGAGAGCCACAGCAAGAGAGGGAACACAAGCAGGGGGAGTGGGAGAGGGAGAAGCAGGCTTCCCGCTGACCAGGGAGCCCGAAGCAGGGCTCGATCCCAGGACCCTGGGATCATGACCTGAGCCGAAGGCAGACGCCCAACGACTGAGCCACCCAGGCTCCCCTAAAATAATTTTAAAAAAATATTTATTTACTTGAGAGAGGGCGAGAGCAAGAGAGAGCACAGAGGGAGAGGGAGAAGCAGACTCCCCACTGAGCAGGGAGCCCCACGGGGGACTCGATGATCCCAGGACCCAGAAATCATAACTTGAGCTGAACTCAAGACACTTGAGTTCACTTAACCTACTGAGCCACCCAGGCACCCCGAATTAATTTCCTTCTGTGAAGTTATCCATTTGCTATATATTTGAGTTCACTTGCTCCTGTTTGTATTCAACTTTAGGGTGTGCTTTTCCCATTTGATTCTGAATATGCAAAACTTTCATAAGATTGAAAGTCAAAAGTTTATTAAAAATCAAACTTAAGTCTCACTCAGTTCACTTCAATCCCTAAGGGTAACCATTTTCATTAGTTTCTGGCTTATTCTACCTATGTTCTATTTTGAAAACAACAACAACAACAAGAAATATATCCTTATTACCATTTCTTACTTACATAAAAGTAGTATACTACATATACTTTTGTTCCTCACTTGCTTCACTTTACAATATATCCTCAGAACCACTCCATATCACAGTTCACAGAGGACTTCCTTATTCCTTCTTACACCTATTAGCACTTCACTGGATAGTGATAGAATAGTTTATTCAACTAGTCTTCTATGAATGTTGTTTCGTATTTGTGGAAGTGAGGTTGCTGGGTCAAGGGCCAATGCACAGTTTTGTTAGACATTGCTAAATTCCCCTCCACAGAGACTGAAACAATTCTGCATTCCCACCAACAATGTATGAGAGTGTCACTTTCTCCACAGCTTTGCCAACAAAACGTGTGGTTAAGCTTTTGAATTTTTGCCAGTTTGACAGGTGTGAAATGCATCTCAGTGTAATTTCAATTTGCATGTTATCTTAAGAGTAAAAGTGAGCAACTTTTCAATGTTTCAGGTCCATTTCCTTTCTTCTTTTTTTTTTTTTTAAAGATTTTATTTATTTATTTGACAGAGAGCACAAGTAGGCAGAGCGGCAGACAGAGGGAGAGGGAGAAGCAGGCTCTCGCTGAGCAGGGAGCCCAACGCGGAGCTCGATCCCAGGACCCTGGGATCATGACCTGAGCCGAAGGCAGCTGCTTAACTGACTGAGCCACTCAGGTGCCCCCTCAGGTCCATTTTCTATCTTTGGACTCTCTCTTCATTCTCTTTTGAAAAGGCAAACATTTAAAAGTAGGAATTTACCTATTTTAGAATTACGCATTAAATGGAATTTAGCATTAGAAGACTCAGGTTCAAGTCCCAACTTCCCACTCTACTGTGGGGGCACTGGGGAAACTGCTTAACCTCTCTGTCTTTGCTTTCCTTATCTGTAAAATGGAACACTCTTCCCACCCTAGTCCTATATACCTAAATGGGTACCTTCTCAAATCACAGAAAGTTTTTACTGATCTCTTCTGCCATGTGAAAGTACAAAGAAGTCTATGACCCAGAAGATGGTCCTCACCTGACCGTGCAGGTACCCTGATCTCAGATTTTAGCCAAAGAACTATAAGAAATAAGTTTCTGTTGTTTATGAGTTCCCATTCCAACCCCCAGTTCCCGACAAAAAACAAAACAAAAAAACAAACCAGTTTCTCCCATATTAAAGTGGAAAAACCCTCTTTCCATCCTGAATTCTCTTCCAGACACTCCTTTCTTCCCTTCCCTTCCC